GGAGGAGGAGATACAGAAAGAGCAGAGATACAGAGAGAACGGGGTACAGAGAGAGGAACAGATACAGAGAGACAGGGGTACAGAGAGAGGGAGGAGGAGATACAGAAAGAGCAGAGATACAGAGAGAACGGGGTGCAGAGAGAGGAACAGACACAGAGAGAAAGGGGTACAGAGAGAGGGGGGAGGAGGAGATACAGAGAACAGAGATACAGTGAGAGGAACAGATACAGAGAGAAAGGGGTACAGAGACAATGGGGTACAGGGAGGGGGTTGATATAGAGATACAAAATGTGGGCAGAGAGGAAGAGAGAGAGAGGAAAAGGGAGAGATATTGTTGAAACACCACTCTTGTTGCCAGGTGTTGTCGGTCTTGGCGATTTAATTTCAGCCTTCGAGAAGGCAGTAGGCTTGAAGCCTTGTAGCATACACACCCTGCTTTGTGTCTTTTCAGTGAAAGCACAGAACAAGCCTTAACACAATACACACGCATCCGCCCAGGAGGCCGAAAACACTACGAATCCAGGCAACGCCAAGGACAAAGCTGGGGCCGGGCCTGGAGAGCCGCGGGGGCCTGACCTGCAGCATGAACAGCTGGAAGCGGGTGGCTTTTTCTGTCCGCTGGCAGGACGAGCGTCGCTGGGATTTCAGTTTCTCAAGCTTCCCATTGGTCGCCAAGCTCCCCTCCTCCCCATTTCCTGGAGCAGCACTGGGACACACAGAAAGAGGAATTGGAACCGGGCTGCTATTCGTCCACTCCCCCCCCCCCAGCATAAAAAATGGAGGTGCAGGCAGGACCACCACTGTTCTTTACGGCTTTGCACCTGTGTGATACAACCCAAGATTAAACAATTTCAATACTTAACAAAATGCGTTTCACAGTTTTCCACTACCCATCTAACTCATTTACTCGGATTCGGATTAAGATTCTGAGATATTTCATTCCAATTCCGGCTGTGGCCACACATCCTCCCTGCCCGGACCAGTGGTGGTACAGCCAAGCAGGTTCTGCCCCTGGGGTCTGAGAGGAACGTGCTTCCTTTGTGCTTTGTGCTTTACTCTTACAGTTTTACAGTGACTCCCTTGCTCTTTCACTCTAACAGGGCTGTGTGACAACAATAGTTCTACACCACCTCTCGTCTACGAACTGTGGTGTGCTCATGAAGGCTACGGAAGAGCTCATCGGCCAACGACATCAGCAGTTGTTTTTGCTAACGTGGATGAAACAACAGTACAGGCAAGGCCTCCCGTTCACGGTCCAAAACTTTTCATTTGCTCAAACAACACATTTGCAAAACTACAATTTAGTCAAATCGAAACATGTTTCATGTTAAACCTGCTTAATATCTCATTGATTATTTTTTCTTTGTTTTTGAAAGAGAACACACTATGTTAAAAAACCTCAAAAGACAGAAACCTCAGAATCGCCTCCTCCCCTCATTCCCTGAGCATGGGGTTTTGCAGTCCCCGTAAACTCTCAAGTCTCTATGTTGTTTTAGGCATTCGGTCGGTCTTTAAACCAACTCCTAGTTATGTTTCTTTACCTCTCTTTTTGGAGTGAGTGGTACCCTCAGGAGGTTAAAGGATAGCAGAAGGCGTTAAGTTACCTGGGCGTGGTCTCTGGTTTCACTGGCTGGGCTGGCTGGACCGGCTCACCACCCAGGATGCCAGGGGCGTCCTGCTGGCCCTACAGGACCGACACAAACAGAAATCAGCGCCGGAATACAGCAGAGGTCTTCAGGGTTTTTAAAGACACTGCAGTCTAGTGTTCTCCTGTTACCCCATGCAATCCCTAAGGTGTACTGAAAGGTGTTGCCCCCTCCCACACTAAAAACACCCCGACAGGGAAGGCGTTTATTCGACACTTGTCCATCTCCTGTTTCTGACATACTGATGTGACTGAGAGTGCAGAGCCACCGTGTCAGAAGAGCGAGAGGGCTTGTCCCTTCCTGCCCCGTTCTGTGCGTGCGTGCCTGACCGACCAGGGGTCGCGTGCGCTGTACCTGGGGCGGGATCAGTGGGTCAGCGGCCGGCGCTGGGGGAGGGAGCGGCGGCTGGCTGTTAGCAGTCGAAGCAGGGTGAGGCGCTGAGCACTGGGGCAGGGTCTCTGCGGCGGCTGCATTCTCCGCGGGCACCGGCTCCGCAGCGGCGGCCTGAGCAGGAGCACCCGGGGAATGCCCAGGGGCCGGCAGGAGGACGCTGCCCCCTACGGGCTGCAGGAGGCCGGAGGAGGAAGAGGAGGAGGGAGGGTAGCTGGGGTAGGACTGCGAGGGGCCGGGAGGTGGCTTTTGGTGACCGAGGAGAGCAGGCTGCGGCTGCAAAGGCCCGCCAGTCGTTGCTCCCTGGGTCTCGGGGAGGTGGTGCTGGTCTAGGGACGCCCAGCCGGCCGGGCCCGAGGTCTGAGCCACGGCCTGGGCCTGGGCTTGTGCTGGCAGACCAGGCTGCTGGTGCTGAAAGTCTAAGAAACCGTGCGACTGCTGCAGTGAAGATGGGGGAGGGGCTGCCAACACCTGGCTGTACAGTAAAGGCGGCACGGCCTGCTGCTGCACCGGGGCCTGCTGCTGGGGTATCTGAGCTTGCGGTGCTTGCAGGGTGGATGCTTGAGGCTGCTTCACTATTTGACTGTGCTCTTGGGGGGTCAGTCCCACCTGTGGAGGTATCTGAGTGTGCTGCTCAGCCGCTTGGCCCTGTAGATGGTGCTGCTGAGCAAGGAGCTCCTGTTGTCTTAACAAGTCCAGTTTCTGTTGGTGCTGCTGTAGCTGCGAGAGCTCGTGCTGCTGTGGGAGGTGACATACTGCCTCTGGCGGAGCTGACTGCTGTTGTGGTGGTTGCCATAGATGCTGTACGGACTGCTGCTGCTGCTGCAACAGCTGCTGCTGGGCTAGCTGCTGCATTGGCTGCGCTAACTGCTGGGTGGCTTGTTGCTGCTGTGGGACCTGTTGTTCCTGGGCAACAGGTTGATGTTGCTGGGCAAAAGGCTGATGCTGCTGTGCTGCTGGCGGTGGTCCCTGCTGCTCTGGAATGTGCGGTTGTGCAGGTTGTCGCGGCTGTAAGGCCTCTGGCTTGTTGAAAGCCGCCTGGGGGTGTGGCAGCTGTGGCTCACTCTGGATCTGGGAGTGCTGCTGGAACGGCGCAGCCGGGTGAGCATGGGGTTCAGCTATGCATGGGGCGTGGGGTGCCGGCTGCGCAACGTGGGCAAGAGGCTGAGATGGTCGTCTCTGTTGCTGCAAGTGCGCCTGAGCCTGCGCGGCAATTTGGCCTGACTGTACAACTGGCGGGGGTGGCGTTTCGTGTTGCGTCGCCACCTGGGTTCCAGCCGGGGCTTGGGGGAGCCTCTGTGGCAGCTGGGGCAGAGGCTGTGCTTGCTGGACCGCCGCCTGCACGTGTCCTTGTGTCTGAACCCCTGCCAGCTGCTGCTGCGCCTGCGCCTGCGCCTGCCCCAGCAGTGTCGCCCCCTGCTGCCCGGGCTGCACCCCTGGGGCCGGGGACGGGGGGGGCTGCACCCCCCGTTGGACCTGCCCCTGCAGTAAAGCCTGCTGCTGCATCTGCATCTGAACCTGGAGAGGCGGCTGCTGCTGCTGCGATGCCTGGGGCGCCGGGCCCTGCGTCTGAATCTGGTAGTGCTGGGCCAGCTGCTGATGTTGCGAGACAGCCTGCGAAGGCTCGGGTGGCGCCTTCTGCGGTGGCAACTGGACTGGCTGCGGCCCTGGATGAGCCACGCCGGGGGGCTGAGATTGCTGCTGAGGGACGGGGGGGGGATACACCGTCTGCTGGCTGTCTGGCAGGGGCCGGGCCTGCAGCTGCGGACAGAGCTGGGGCGGCTGGGGTTGCGCTGAGGGGGCCAGGGAAGGGGGCAGGTAGAACTGCTGCTGCAAAGCCTGCTGGCTGGCCTGTGCCGGGTGAGAGGGGGCCGGCTGCTGCTCAGGCAGCTGCAGGGGGAGCTGCGGCTGCTGGGGCTGAGGCTGGAAGGCGAGCTGCTGGTTCTGCTGCTGGATAAGATAGAGCTGCTCCGACCGGAACTGGGCCTGCATCTGAGCCTGGGCCTGGGCCTGGGGCTGAAGCTGCGGGTACTGAGCATCCACACCGGAAGGCGCCGGAAACGCTCTCTGCTGCTGCAGCAGAGCCTGCTGCTGCAGGAAGGCGTCCTGGAGGGAGCGCCCCTGCGTCTCGGTGGAGCCCTGGGCCTGAAGGGAGGCCCGGTGCTTCTCCGCCTGGAGGGCCGGAGCCCGGGGCTCGGCCGGAGCGTGGGTCTGCAGCAGGGCCTGGGGAGCCGGCGGCGCGGCGAGCTGCGGGTGCTGCCCCAGGAAGGCCCCGGGCTGCTGCTCCGCCTGCGCGGGCTGCTGCTCGTGGAGTAAACCTGCCTGCTGCTGCTCCATGAAGAACTGGCCCTGCGCCGGTGGAGGGCACGGCTGCGTGTGTCCAGGATCCGGCACAACGGACAGAGACTCCGCGGCAGCCACCGCTACCCCTCCCCGGCCCTGCAGGGGGAGCTGCTGCGCTGGCTGGGAAAGAAACGCTGGGTGGACGACCGAGGAAGGAGGGGGCCCGGATTCGGACAGGCCCGCCTGCGCCGGAGGGGGCTGGGGGGAAGGGAAGGCCTGGGCTGGCCTCAGCGCGGCCTGCTGGGGCTGCGGAGGGTGTTGGTGCAGCGAGTCTTGCTTCTGCAAGGGGGCGGCGGTGAGCTGGGGCGGGACCTGGGGCTGCGGCAAGGAGGATAGCACCTGCTGGCTGACCCCGCCTCCTCCTACCCCCCCAGCCTGGGGCAGGTAGGGCCCCCCGGGGTGGGAGTCTCGGGGCTCGCCCACTGAGAGCGGCGCGGCCAGGGGGGCGTTTGGGGCAGAAGCCTGCGGCGACACCGGGGGCTGGAAAGGCTGGGCGACAGGGAGGGACAGAGAGGGGGCAGTGGAGGTAGAGGCAGAGGAAGAGGAGGAGGAGGAGGATGAGGAGGAGGAGGGAGGGAGCGAGGCAACGATGCATGACTCCGAGACGCTTGACCCCCCTCCCACTGGCAGCTGGGTCAGGAGCTGTCCCTCTGCGCCATGAGACGGCCGCGTGGCATCGAGCTGCTGGAGGGGCTGATTAGAGAGGAGCGGATGGAGGGAGGGAGACAAGGAGCGGAAGAGAAAGAAAGAGCGAAGCATTGTTAGCGTGGGAGGAGTAGACTGAGTTGCCAGAGTGCTTCTGAGACAGTACAGGATGAATCATTGCAAAACTAACATTCGTTTAGCCGAAATGAAAGGATTGACTTTCAACAGCTTTTTACACGAGCAAAACACCCTCAGTCCTCATTTTATGGCCATCGCTACAGACATTTAAAAATAATTTAAAATATAATGTTTTAAATAACGTTTACACCCCCCTATGTCCATTGTGCATAACTCAGACAGTCATCCTTTCCCAAGTATGAAATCTCACTGTTCCTGCTCATTAGTATTTACATTTAGGCTTACCATATTCCCCCATTTAAACTTAATTTGGTTCATTCATTTATTTTATTATTCTGCCACATATTAAATTCCTATTACCTGCATTTTAATGGTGTGGAGGAAATAATATGTAATATTCTTTTCAGTGAGTTTCAGACTTCTAATGCATGAGTCAGACTAATGTATTAGTCTGACAGACTGGACCTCAGCATCAGCTGGACAGACAGACAACTTCAGACGCACATAAGCAGTAGGCAAAACAGGCACAGAAACCCTGATACTTAAGACACTTTCAATAAAACAAACATACAGACAGAGAAGACACAGACAGGGACAGAGAGTGAGTCGTTGTTTGTTTTGCTATTTATAATTTTATTGCGTTTTACACCGATCTACAAACATGGAAAACAACGGACAGGATGAAACATAATACAAGGACAAAAGCAGAGAAACAACAACGTAACCGCACACTTAAACAATTATCCCCTACTTCAGGGGTAACGTGACAAGACTGTGCTCCAGGAGCTGTCAGACTGAGCGACAGGGAGAGACAGGTGTTGAAGAAGCAGAGAGAGACACAGCGGCAGACAGCAGTGGACTTTCAGACACACAGGAAAAGAGACCAGAAGATGAACAGTTTTGGAGAAAGGCAATCGGTGAGATGGAGTAAAGAGGTACAGAGATTCAGAGAGGTAAAGACAGGGAAAAGGCAGGCAGGGAAAGAGGAAGAGGGAGCCATCAGTGAAGGGGTTTACCTGTGAGAAGTGCTGCCCAGCTCCAGCTGAAACCTGGGGTCCTGCGACAGCCGGCTGAGGCAAACTCTGCACGGGGACAACCGTGGGCATCGCGCTCGGCACAGTGGGCATGCTCTGCACGGCGGGGGTCTGACCCGCTGGCAGACCCACAGCTGGGCTCTGACCCGCCGGCAGCATCTGAGGGTGGGACATGCCTCCTGTCCTCTGTAAAGCCCAGGAGGACAGGAACATCAGAGAGGTCGCAGAGAGGAAGGGCTGTGTCACATTGCCAGGTGGTGACGGGTTGATGCTAACATGACATTACTGTTGCTAAACAGATCGCAGGCAGGTACCTGAAGTGGCAGCTTGATTGAAACTCCTGAATTCCCCTCACAAATCTGGAGACCAGCTGCATTTACCTGTCATTCTCCTCATCTTTTTACAATTGGGAGTTAGCCCTTATGAGGAACGGGACACTTCTGGGCCATGTGGCGAACCATATCTCCATGAGCAACTGTTATCTCCTCCCGAGCCCACCCAGCAGGCCAGCAGAAACGCGCGATGACACTGTCATGACAACTGAAGATCTGCGATGACGCGCGTCCAAAGCTGTCACACCTCCTCGCGTTAAGCTCAAATGAGCTCTTCTGCTAATGGGAAATACCCATCGGAGTCTCTGACCAGGCAGAGCCCTGCCAACTTCATTCACCAGTAAAACAACCACAGAAGTGACACTGACAGGGAGTTTCACTGTCACTGTAAAATTAAAAAAAGTGTTTCTTTCCAGATTCATACTTCAAGATTTTGAAGGAAACACCCAGGGTTCCCCAAGAGCCGAAATGCAAAGGCTTCCCGTTATCCTGTCATGCTGTTCTCACTGCTGGAGTGTGTCCCTGCCTGCTGCCCAGGAGGATGAGGGCCGTACCTGTGGCTGGGCTCCGGCCTGTATGGGCTGGTAGGACTGGGCAGGGAGCTGGGCTGCCAGTGGTGAAGCACTGGGCAAGGACTGCTGCTGAGGATGGTGCTGGGGGTATACTGGTCCAGGGGGGATCTGAGTAAAAAGGGACAGGAGAGACAGGGATGAGCCAGGGTACTCCTCAAGAACACTGGGACGAGCAGCACTTACCCACATTATCCTCCTGGGACCGGGCTTGTTAAGATTAGGGGTTAACCCATAGGAGACGCAGGATGCCTCTGAGTTACGTGCAGAAGACACTGCAGCAGCACAGCTGGTTTCAGGACCAGCTGGGGAGGGTGTGCACGTTTAAATAGCCCCCGCCCATGCCTGCCATCTGTGTCTCCAGCTAACAGGGAGGGAGTGACAGAGCTGCGTACAGCGCCTTCCCCACCGGACATAATACACAACTAACAAAGCGCAGCCCAGAAGCATCCTGGAGCCTGGACATGGTTAAACCTCAGTAGGACACAATACAACAGTTTGTGGGACAGGCTACATGTATGAACACGTAACATGTAACTTCATATATGAACATGTAACAGTGTGGTACATACAGAGGGCAGTTACTAAACAGAAAACTTGGAAGACACTAGAGAGCTCCCCAGCGGACAGGAGCACTGGGAAAGGCCAAGACCAGCTATTCACATACGAAAGGAATGAAGGGGGCACCACGTCTGAAAGCAACCACCACTGAAGAATGAGTTCTTTTCATACAAACACCTGAAAAATAGACTGAAGACTAGATTTTGTTTGGGGGACTATTCTGAGCTGGGCTTTGGGCCACATCCAGCGACAAGGCTAATTTGACATAACTGAAGCCCTTTGTGTTGTTTTGAGTGAATTAAAAAGGAATTAACCCTCACAATGAAGAGCGAACCAAGTGCCTGGTGTAGCACTGCTCCAAAGTCCTGTGCCTGAACTCAGTGCAAGCCTTGTTTGTTCTCCATTAAGCATTTTCTAGCATTGCTTAAATGTTTTTTCTTTCCCCTCATGTATTTTTAATTCAGTGGGACAGAGAGGCTCCAGCCCAGTTCCATTAATGTGGCATTGTTCTCTACCTAAGAGTCTGACAAAACCCCGAGATTAAAACAAGAACCCGCGCCACCAACCCAACAGGAGGCTGTCCAGGTTTGTGCCTACCACACTTCCAGCACTCTGCGACGCCTGCGTGCCTGCATTTTTACAGCCTGGTTCGGTGGTGCACAAACCTATCCAGACACGGGACTGCTACGTTTTTTTGCATCCACATTGCTTTGCATCTGTTGCTGTTTTGGAAGACTAGGGTGAAGAGGCAAGAGGCGAGCCGACTGAGGTCTGTCAGGCTAAAAGCCAAGTTAAGGAACTTGCTGAGGCGCAGTGCAATCGGGATAAAAGCATGGCAACGTGTTGGGAGGCATGAACTGTGAACTGTGAACTGTGAACTGTGAACTGTGAACTGTGAACTGTGAACTGTGAACTGTGAGACAACGGCAAAGCGAACTCATGGTTCAGGCATTATTAACTGCAGAAAAACCTTGCATACTGACAGTGGTTACACTCTGCAAGAAGGAGCCTGCTGGTTTTAACAAGGCAGAGCTCTGTATCTTGTCCCTGCTGAGCTCATCTCTGATTCATGGCTCCTTATCCGTCGTCTTTTGCCTGATTCAGACGCTGTCAGCAGCGTAGGCAGCGGTAACAAACATTGCACGCACTTGAGTGCTCTTTATGTACAAAAAAGTGGTAAAACTGAAAAAATGCATGAGAAAAAATAATAAAGGCAAGACCAGGTACACACATGTACAGTCTGCCCTTTGCTTTCCTTATCAGTGTAAATAATGGCTTTTCTCACACGCCATGAATTAAAAAGTGCAAAGCAAACAGCGGCTTGGTCTCCTCACAGTCAATGCGATGTACACTTTCTCATCAAATACCTTTGTATATGGGTTATTAGTTTCTTATTTAAACAAAATAATAATAGTTTAATAAATATGGAAATATACCTGTGCAAATATATATCAGGCTACTATCAGTTCAATATTACCTAATGCAGATGTCTGATATCTGAACAGAGAAGGTGGAAGGCAGAGGGTAGGCAGACAGCTGTGGAGAAGACTGGGAAGGTACAAAGGCAAATAGTGAGAGAGAGGAAAGCAGAGGTGCAGAGACAGCTCAAGAGCCTTGAGATGTACATAGAGTGACAAAGTAACACAGCTATAGGGAGCTTTACCTGAGGCCTGCAAAGGTACAAGCAGTATGGTATAGAAATGTATTGGGAACTACAGAAGTACAGAAAGATAGAGAGATTCCCTGCTGAGGTGTCTGGGACCTTGGCGTCCACAGGTTGCAGCTGATCTATCAGTAAATTTAAACAAGCCATTACCTGAAGAAATAATTTGCAAGTTTAACCTAATCAACTGTCTTCATTGTTGAGAGGAGAGGCTAGGAGGTTATAATAATAATTCCTTACACTTATATAGCGCTTTTCTGGACACTCCACTCAAAGCGTTTTACAGTAATGGGGATCCCCTCCACCCCCACCACCATGTGTGCAACATCCATCCACCTGATGACAAAATCTTTACTGGAGCTCTGGAAGCTTGTCGGAGAGAGTCTAATAGGTCAGTGTCTCCTGAGCTTCAGACAGTTAATGGCTCAGTAACGTAACAGCTCAGAGAAAGCCAACTGCAAGACACGTGGCTCCTGGGGAGCAGGGCAGGAGGAGAGGCACGAGGGATGTAGTGTGCGACAAAGAAGGAGGGCTGACTCACGGAGGTGGCGTTCTGGTAGGCTGCAGCGTGCGCCTGCTGGTACTGCAGGTGCTGTTGGTGCAGTCCAGACTCCCCCTGCGACGGGGGCACTTGGTGCTGTCCACTGACCAGCGGTTCAGAACTCACGGCATAGCTCCTAGCCAGGGGGTCAGAGGTCGCCGCGGCTCCCCCACAGCTCTCCCCCAGTATCCCCTCCCCTAGGAAGCAAAAAAACACCAAGGCCTTTGTTTACACTGCAGGTTATTTATTACTCTCCCAAGTGTGGCGAAAGGTCATTTCCGAGGCCAGATGAAGACATCATGGAAAGAGAAGCTAATGTCCCCGTATCGTATCCCCATTCCCGATCGGGCCTGCTCTCAGTTCAGTATCCTAAAGGATAAGAAGACATTGTCCTACAGAACTCTTTTATGCTGTTTTTTTAGAGAGTACAGTCAATGACACATATGACCTGAACTGCTTCGATTTATCAGTGCTTTCATTGCTTCTGTGTTATTTTGTTATGTCTTTTATTTTCTCCCTCTTCTTTTTGTTCAGTTCACTTATTTTTTCGTGTTTGAGATCTTTTTCCATGTGGCTGGCCGAACTTTGCTTTGACTGAACCTTCTGTGAAAGATGCTATAGAAAAATATTGATTGATAACTCAGTGCAACTCAGAAGCGATAAGCATGACTATTTGGCGGTGCGGTGGCTCTGTGGCTATGGATCTGTGGCTGGGAGGTTGCCGGTTCGTATCCCGCGGCCGGCAGAGGAATCCTACTCTGTTGGGCCCCCGAGCAAGGCCCTTAACCCCAACTGCTCCAGGGGCGCCGTATAAACGGCTGACCCTGCGCTCTGACCCCCAGCTTCTCTCCCTGTCTGTGTGTCTCCTGGAGAGCAAGCTGGGGTCTGTGAAAAGACATATTCGGAATACAAGAAATTGTATATGGCCAATAAAGTGATCTTATTATTCTATATTCATAATAGTTTGATTCTCTGTGGTGAATAAGGTGGCGAAAAGAATGGAGATTATATTAATAAAATAGCACTTTTCACTGGTGGGTTGTCACACATTTTCTCTGACTGAACATGCCACCTTATTTTGGGAGGGCATCTCCATTGTTAGCTATGTCTGTCGGCCTCCAGGCTGCAGCACAATTAGATTTAGCCTGAAATGGCTGAAAATCATTCAGACACAACCCGGGACTCTGCTTTAAACCAGTACTGGTAGTGCAACATTACAGACGAGAACAGGGAAGAGTCTGATTACATCACCACTTTGACGTAAGTGAATTCATGCAGCTTCCTTTGTCTCCAAATTACTTTAACATTCTTAGTATTTTATAGCTTTGCATTTCACAGATGTGAAATTTAAATTAAAAAGCAAACCAACACGTAATAAGAAAACAAACACGACAAACACCATAGATTGGTGCACACAAAGTTACATTGGACTTTGCAACTACGTTTGCACATCTCCCTGGCAACAGAAGAGCTCAGCCTGCCTGGGTTTACTGCAGAGCAGAGGGACAGCATAATTAGAGCAATTTTGATGTCGCAAACAATGACATCATTGTGGACTTTAGCTCCAGTGGAGACTGTTGCCCTCGCTTTCCGAATGGAAAGTACATGCTTCAATCACCTCTCACACACTAAGTAAAAGGATCTTTTTAACTACAGCTCTGCGCAGCGCACACACTGACTTTTATTCCCACTTCCCTTTGATCTTTCCAGGAGTTTTTACAGTTTCCGAGTACATCTGGGAGACGATGCCAAGACCCTCGCGATTATCCTAGAGAACCGGCCCGCCGATTTTTTAAAAGCCTTTGCTCCACAGAACAGTCTGCTCCTGGGGCTGCTTGCAAGCGTTAACACTGCTGCCAAAAACAGTTTATGTTTGACTAGGAATGGGCACTGCACTGTAACTAGGCAGTGTTTCAAACAAACACCCCATCGGTAAAGTAGCTGTAGGACCTTTAAGGCAGTGCAGACCAGCAGGGTGCCCTCGCGGCGGTGCTGTTTGTGGGCTGTACCTGCAGGGGGAGCTGCGGCTGGCAGGGAGGCCTGCTGGAGCTGCAGCTGGAGTTGCTGCAGCCTGACGTGCTGGTCCACCTCCGGCAGCTCCTCGGGCTCGGGGCCGCCCGGCACCCCTGCCAGCAGGCCGGCGGAGGAGAGGCCGCCGGGCTGGGAGGAGGAGGAGGAGGGCACGGCGCCCCCCAGGGACAGGGGCTGGGAGTCGCGCCTCTCCTCGTAGCCCCGCAGCAGCTGCCGCCGCTCGCGGGACTTCTTGATGAGCGTGACCCGGTCGCGGATGGACTTGCCCACCACCTTGGCGTCGCTCTCGTGAAAGAAGCCTGACTTCACCTGCCGGGAGAGAGAGAGAGAGAAGAACGTTTGAGTTAAAACCCAACAGCATTACAGCGCTGCTCTTACTGCTGCTGCTAATAATAATTACTCATTTATTCCTTTTTCCCTTATTCATTTGTTCTTTTTTTTAATTGTATAATGTTAGCTAGAGTGTTTTTATTCCTCCTTACTTCTGGTCTTTTCTGTTCTGTATTCACAACATGTATGGTCACTTGCTTTGTTAAGCGCCTATATAAAAATGAACTGAATTGAATAATGATGCAGGGGTTGCAGTTGTTGTGATCTCTGTTATTGGCACTGTTACACAGCTATTAAAGGACACGGCACAACACCACTACCACAGCTTTTACTTCTGCCCCCTTCAAACCTCCCCACAGGGTGCATTAACCCCATTCTCTCTCTCTCGCTCATCTGCTCTCTCTCTCACCCCACCCATCCATCCCTTTCCTAACCCGCTTATCCAGCCCAGAGCGGAGCCAGAGCCTTTCCTGGCAAGCAACCGGCTTGCTGGTCGGGACGCCAGTCCATCACAGGGAACACCCAGACACACACGCTCACACCAGAGCCACTTTTCCCAGAAGCCATCAAGTATGTCTGTGGACTGTGGGACGAAACCTGTCAGAGAGCTCCCAGAGGAAGCCCACGCTAACACGGGAAGAACATACGATCTCCACACGGGGAGCACCACAGCAATCGAACCCAGGGCCCCCAGCACTGCGAGGAAGCGATGCCCCGCCGTTCTCTCGCTCCGTCAGTCACAGTGAGCTACAGCACTGTTCACTCCCTCTCTCACCATCTCCAGGGCCACCTCCTCAGCCACGTCGTTCTCCAGGTCGTAGCTGAACTCAATGGCCTCGTTGTCCTTGTGCTTGCCCTTCAGTTTCTTGGGGTCCTCCACCCAGATCCTGAGGGCCAGGGACTCCTTCACCCCGTCGTCGTCCTCCGCCAGCTCCACCCGCACGCCCGTGTCCTCCCCAAAGAAGGCATGGGTCAGCAGGTCCTTTATAGACAGCCTGAGAGGAAAAGAGGCCGGGAGAGAGATGACTTCCCCAGAATAACAAATCGAATCCATCCCAGAATTCCTACACCTGCCCCAACCAGAACAGCTTCAGGTTATTCTGGGGGGAGGAAAACGCAACAGAGCTGTAGCCCCTGTATGTGATCTCCTGCCACGGCCTGAGGGACAGAGATCTCAGATGACAACAACTATAAGAGGAATGTTTTTGTTGTAATAGTCTGTACTTGCCCTGTAACTGCTATTGCTCAGGCAACACTCGTCATTAGCCACAGCAATGAAGCTCATTGGATTTGAGTTTGAGAGACAGAGAGGTAGAAATGGTGATAAGCAAGGCGAGAAAGAGAAAGAGGAACTTTGTTGTTATTCACATCAACTTTATTTGGTATTTAATGAAAATGCTTAGGGACTGGATTTAAGGGGGGTGAAAGAGTGGAACCGTAGACAGAGGAGACACTAATCACAGGAGTTGGAGAAGAGGGAAGAGTGAGAGAGAGGAGACATTTAACACAGTAATTAACACAGAGAGGGAGACAGTAAGATAAACAGAGGAAGGGTTGCTGGGATTGTGGGGGAGTTATTAGCAGATGTCCTGTAGGTAACGTGGTGAAACTGAGCACAAGCGAGGGGGAGGAAGGAGAACCAGAGACTCAGAAGAGAAATAGAAAGAAAGTGAAGAGAAGAAGCAGCAGAAGGGAGAGGAATATATACGAGGGACAGAAACGGAGCAAGAGGCCCTGCATCGCAGCCTCTCTGTCTCTGAGACACACCCACCTCTGGCTCTTGTTCTGGCGGATGCAGCCCTCGATGATCTCCTTGATCTCGGGGTCGCTCACCTTGTCAAAGCTGGCGGGCTTAATGCCCTGAAGAGGCAGGAAGGGCGAGAGAAGGAGTGAGTGGGGAAAATCACACAACCAACCCCCACCGCCACCAAAAAACCCCCAAAAAAACAGCAGTGATTTACAAACTAATGTTGGGACGATGGCTTTTCACTATGCAGAAATCAAACACTTGAATCTGTACCTTTCATCATGACCCCCTTACTGTGAAACTCACATACTCCTTAAGTGTAGAAACTATATTAACCAACACGGCAGTTAAGATCTTCCATCAATTTGTTTTCTATCCGCCTCATCCAATTCAGGGCGGCAGGGGAGACAGAGCTTATCCCAGAAAGGAAAGGGCGCAAGGCAGGGTACACCCCTGGACAAGATGCCAGTCTGTCACAGGGCTGACAGACACAGACACAGACACAGACACACACACACTCATGCCAGGGTCAATTTTCCCAGAAGCCAATTAACCCACCAGCATGTCTTTGGACTGTGGGAGGACACCAGAGCACCCGGAAGAAACCCACACGAGCTTGGGGAGAACATTCAATCTCCACATAGACAGCACCCCAGGTCCGGAATTGAACCCGGGACCCCAGCGCTGCAAGGTGGCAATGCTGATCACCGTGCGCTGCCTCCAGTTTGGTCTTTTTGCAGGTAAAAGATGATCAATACATGTACATGTAAGGACGGAGCGGTGGCTCTGTGGCTCAGGATCTGTGCCTGTGACTGGAAGGTTGCCGGTTCAAATCCTGCGGCCGGCAGAGGAATCCTACTCCGTTGGGCCCCTGAGCAAGGCCCTTCACCCCAACTGCTCCAGGGGCACCATACAATGGCAGACCCTGCGCTCTGACCCCAAGCTTCTCTCCCTGTCTGTGTGTCTGTGTCTCCATGGAGAAAAAGCTGGGGTATGCGAAAAGACGAATTCCTAATGCAAGAAATTGTACAGGGCTAATAAAGAAACATTATTATTATTACATTACATGAACAAAATCCGTGCCTGCAGATTCATGATCTTTATACTTTGTGAGGGGAGAGGAAGTGGGGAAACGCAGGGAAAGAGAGACTCACGCTAGTGACTTTGCGGTAGATCTGAGCGGCGTTCTGGCACTCGGAGTAGGGATACTCTGACGTGGCCATCTCCAGCATGCACATCCCAAACGCATAAACATCCACAGACTCATCATAGTGCTCCTCGTACATCTCCGGGGCCATGAACTCTGGGGTACCTGAGAGAGACAGGGGAGAGAATGCTGCACTGTGAGAAATACTCTGGGATTAGACAATCACTGTTCCCTAAAATAGCAAATCGAATCCCAGAATTCCCACCCCTGACAGAATCAGAACAGCTCCCGCTCCTACTGGGGGAGGAAACTCAATAGAGCTGCAGCCCAGTATATCACCTCCTGTCACAGCCCGAGGGACCCTGAGCCTGTCTCCCAGTGATGATTTATGTGATGTATAAAAATGTCCAATAATATGTCTGCAATGTAACAGTCAGTATTAATTGTACCTGCGTGGGAAAGAAGGGAAAGAAGAGAAGGAAGCTTGAGAAGGAGGCGTCAGAGGCAGAACAAAAGCCGAAATAATGGAGCCATAAAACAGGAGGGACAAGGAGGGACAAGGGGGAACAAGGGGGGACAAGGTGTTCAGAGGGGCAGGGGGCACAGAGAAGAAGACTGTCCAGAGAGAAAGTGGGGCACCCAGGAATGCAGACAAACATAGAAGAGAGGGGATACCAGTGGCAGGAGACAGAGACAGAGGCAGAGAAGAAAAAAATGTCTATGTGATTACTTAATTCACGTATATTAATTATTAATAACATTAATACTGTCCTCATCATGAGTAATACATTTCTTTATTACTCTGTGCAATTTATAGTTATTGTTGGACATGACTGTATGACTGCTTCTGCGTCAGAGCAATATAAAACCTTTCACTACAAAGGGCAAAGGGTGAAACAGCCACTTCACTATTCTCTTTCATCCTCTGCAGACACCGATGACATTCACTCAGTGTGATACTGCTGGTTTCAGGCAATTCGGGGTCATGCCTGCAAAGTGTCTCATAAACACGTTCGCCCAAGAGCTCAGATTAAAAAAGACGCCCAAAGGTGTATCAGAAGGGAATGCAATCTTCCGGCACGTGATATCACTCCCTGCATGTGATATTGTTACTCGTGTGTGACATCAGTGCCGGTGTCCGCTGCTGCTCTGGCGGTGGCCATACCGATGACGCTCTTGGCGAAGGAGGTGCGCATGAGCGTGGCAAGGCCGAGGTCGCCGATCTTCACCGAGCCCGTGGGGCCCGTGATGAAGATGTTGTCGCACTTCAGGTCGCGGTGGATGATGGGAGGGGTCCTGGTGTGCAGGAAGTGGAGGCCCTTCAGGATCTGACGGCACCAGCTGCGCAGCACCTTGGGCTTCATCACCTTGAAGCGCTTCAGGTACCTGGACAGGCAGGGGGAAGGGCTGGTTCGGTCAGCCAGCCGGGCACTGACCCCCCTACACTCCCACACACGCGCACACAGGTCCCACTCCAGTCCAGCACGGCTCCCTCAGGACAGGGGCAGACACCTTCCGCTGCTGTGTCATCGCAAGCGCGCGGGCAACAGCACGGCCCCCTGCAGCTGTCAAAGCCACCTGCTTCCTTTCTTTCATACCGCACACTTCCTACCAAACTCTCACCACCGACAAAGTTCCCATCCTGTGAGATACAGGATTTAATGGTCATGTTTAAATATGAAAACCTGCAGCTCATGGTTCCGCCTGAGGCACGCTGACAGAGCAGTGCAGACAATGCAGATAAGGCAGCAGAGACAATGTTAGGGTCAAACATGGAGTCCCCATTACTTGTAAAGCACTTTGAGTGGAGTGTCCAGAAAAGCGCTACATAAGTGTAAGAAGTTATTATTAATAATAATAATAATAATAATAATAATAATAAT